ACTTTATCCATTGTCCTGGTTTTAAGATAACTAAGAAAAACATGACGTTTCAGAAACTGGACCAGTGATTGAGGCTAGGTCTTTCTAAGGAACCCAACAGAATAGGTGTTTTCCCTCACCTGAGGACGGAAACAGATCCAGTTTCCGAAACGTCGTGTTTTTCTTAGTTATCTTAAAACCAGGACGATGGATAAAATCTGAAAACCCAATATCTCTGTGTGTTATACACCGTTGTAAGAATCCTATAGTAACTACTCTGAAGTACTGTTTATGGTGGTACATCCTGTAGATGAGGCTGTTTGTTTTATTTGAGATCACTAGAGATATGTATGAGAAATTAACTGTTTTGTGTTTAATCTGAAAAGCTCAGAAAGGCTATTTATAAGGTTCAGCTTCATGAACACTTATATGGGATATGACTGCCCCTGCATTTTGTGTTTCAGCCATAGAATACTCATACTGTGTGGGTTCAGATTTCTAGAGTGCCTGTGTTAGTCTCACATTAGAGTAGGAACACAGTCTGAGGGTGCTAAGGGGTATATTTAGACCTAAGAGGGAGCCAGGAACATGAGACTGGAGAAGGAAAATTGAATAATGAGGGGTTTCAACAAATGTTATTAGGATTATAAATTAAAGATGAGATGAGCAGGACATATAGCACACATAGGAGTGAAGACTTATGCACACAAGCTAATAGCATGAAGTGCTCAGCAAAAATGACCACTAGGAAGAAGACCTAGGCATAGACAAGAGGACAGTAATGAAACAAATCTTAAAGAATTATGACGAGTTATAGACTGGATTCATCTGGCACAGTAGGGACCAGTGGTGGGTTCCCCTGAAAACTGTAAATAATGGCTGGGAATTTCTTGACTTGCCAAGTAACTGTTTGCTTCCCAGAACAGTCACGGTTATGTTATGTTGATAGTTGGTTAAGTAAGAGCTTTTGTAATGTGTATAACCATAGCATGTGAGGAAACTTCTCTGAACCATTCAAGCACCAGGGAGTGTACAGAGAGACAGACAAACAGATTTAATTTTACTTTTAGAGGCGATAACTAAAACATAAAAAGGTAAAGCTATCCCTGTAGCAGACTATGAAAGCCCATAGGGTTGCGAGATGTTGAAGGTCCCACATTTTCCAGACATTCGGCTCACAGATGACAGTAAGGTTGTCAGCTGTACGTGCCAGCTGCCCTTTACCTGCAGAAAGATTCCTGGTACCCGTTTCTGTTGTATGTGAGAGAGTTAAGTAGTTTTTATGTCAAATAGAGGTTCATTCCTTTGTTTGTGGCATTGTTACCACCAGCTCTTAGAGCAGGATGTTTAACTAGTGGGCCTCCCCTTTCCAATAATATAATGCCTCTTTACCATATCGGCCTAACTGGAGTTTGTGTCTGTTCTTGGTAGATGCTTTCAGTAGTGACACGTTACTTACCTGATTTTACAATAGGTGCTGTGTGGTGCCTTCGAAGCACATCTTGCACTGCAACACAGTGGTGGTTTCACCATTTGTGGTTTCTAGAATAACGTTGTGGAATTTGTGATTAATTCTGTAGACTTTGTGATTCAGGTTCATCATAAATAAAAATCTAATTTTGATTTGAGAACATTGTCATATTCATTAACTGAATACAGCCCATAGAGTCAGCATTACATTTTGTATAGAGTGTCCTGCTGCATTGACCTGATAGATCCTCGTCGATAATTTTCAGTAACAGTTCAGTGCTTTAACTCGCTGTTGTTGGACATCACAAATGGACAGAACACTCACTGCTCACTGCTGACTGGTCACAAGTGCAAACAGAAATGTGCCGTGCACTTCTTATTGCAGTAGGAGTTCCTTTATGTTATGTTCTGACTCGTAATATTGCCTGAGCATGATTTTTATCTGTGGGAATGTGCTTGGGTGTTGAATAGCACCATTTTCAGTGACTGTTGTAGTATGACAAGTAAAATACTGAAATCATTTTCCAAGCTTAGGTGGGACCTCCAATTTGATCTGTGTGGTAGAGAATTACCTTCTTATCGGGAGGAAATCATTCACTTGCTGAGGTCCTACTTCGTGAACACACAGTAATAAGAGTGAAGTGAAGGATTGAACCGTTTCGTACCTGTAGTTGCACTTCCGAAGTGTTTGCTGGTGTCCGGCTAATCAGTTGTCCATCCTTCCTCTTGTCTCAGTTCTTTTCAAATGAAAGATAAATCATGTCAGTGCATTTGTTAACCTACAGATCTTGATTATTTGTTGTTATTTCAGATGTTTGTGGTCACTGCCTACTTCAGCACCCTCACAGAGTCCATGACAAGCTTCCTCTCACTTGCAATAGCACACTTTTCTGAAGCATATACTTCTGTTCAGCGAATCAAGGTGTGTACATTCATGTGAATCTTGTTTGAGCTGTCTGTATAACCTCAGTGAATTTTTACCTGACATTACATGCAGAGTTCATTGGACTACTATTTCATTTTGTTTGAACAGTTAATTAGTTGAACAAAGTTGTCTTCTGGGTTTAGGCACCGTGTATTCTTCGTTTTGGCCGACGTTTCGGAGGAACGAGTGCCTCCATCTTCAGAGCAGTTGAATGGCTGCGAAGAGCAGTAGCTGTGGTGATAGGATGTGGAAGGTGCTGCTTATATACGAAGTAGGCAGGGGGGGGGTGGTTAGGGAGAACGGACCAATGGGAGCAGTGGAGAGCGATTAAGGCCATATATGGTGTGTGACTAAGGGAGAGGGGGAACGGCCAGTGAGTACAGGAAACTTGAGGTCAATAGCACTAGGAAGTGCAGTAGTCAAGAAAAACCGGTAGGTTGAGGACAGGCTATTGACGTCAATGACATGACGAAGAACTAGTGTGGCTAGTTGGATTCTCTTGAGGGAAAGGATGTTTCACGTCTGTCGAGATTGTTGAGAGCGATAAAGACCATATGATGTGTACTAAGTAGGGGGGGGGACGGCCAGTAAATCCAGGAACTTGAGGTCAATAGCACTAGGAAGTGCGGTANTACACAGTTAATTAGTTATTTGCAAGTTGGCACATAATGAATCATACAGTACGGACATTTTCTTTAGTATGATGAGGCACCTCTGCTTGCAACGTCATAGGCGTCCAATACCATCTTATATTTTTATTTTGTTCACGGAATGTATAAAGTAAACATACGACTGATCAGATGTTATAAAACATCAATTTTAATCTTGTTTTATATTATAACCTTCAGTTTTATATATAAGTGACCATTGTATTTTTACACAAAAGAATTAACTATTTTGTCACTGTATCTAATTATACTACAGTTCAATAGTATATGTTTGTTGATTTGTATTCACCTGATGATGGCTGTTAACGGCCGAAACATGTAGTGTGACATAGCTGGGTATTGACCTTGATACTCCTTAGTTGTTGTGTTGTGATGGAAAAATAAAGTTACCTATTGTAACACAACAGGATGCATGAAATGAAGATTAGAATTATATAACCTGATATAATACATCACTTGTGCGATGTTAGGCAGTACAAATTGAATGCGTGCCCAGAGAATGCTGTAACAAGGCCTATATCCATAATGTGGTCTTCAGACTTATGGCACTATTTAGTCATGTAGGAAGCTGCCTTCAGCTTGTACCCTGAAGATGCGGGCAATATTGACATGATGTATGTGTGACTGTAGACGGGGTGTGGATTGTTGAATGGATTTATTGATCACATATACAAATGACTCGGAAGTACAAGTATTTACAACGCCATTGCCATTTTCCACAATTCACAAATTTAGAGAACAGATCTGGCAGCACGGGCTACCAGTTCAACTAACAATAACATGTTAAAAACTGCCACTGTAGTGCAAACAAATCATCACAGCCCTCAGTGAAGCTTTGTCAGGGAAAGACAAAATATTGGTCATTACAAAAATGGTACTTGAAACAAAATGGCTGCTAGAGTTCATAGGTTGCTCTATGTCATGGAATTTGAGTTAGTGAGGAGTGAGTCAGTCAGTAAGTCCGTCAGGGAACTGCTGTGTTTCAGTTGTGAGCTATTGCTGTTGGAGGCTGGTAGCTGAGGCTGGGTACAGTTCAGGAACACAGAGGAAGGGGAATGTCTGCCATTCAAAGCCACTATCAAGCAATGACAGTGAAGGTATAACTGAGGCTGTGTGTAATAGTGAACTGTAAAGTGTAGTCACGCACTATGTGAAAGATTCCAGTAAGTGTGATCATCAATCCAAAACCTGTATATAGTCACTATAGTGTTATTGCATAATGATTGACACTGTTGCACTTACTGAATTTTTAATAATGTCTAAAGGGCAAAAGTTGTTTTGATTTGAATTGTTTCATTTTTGGTCCGTTACACTATCAATCACAAATTGTCAATGAAAATCCGTCGAGTGTAACAATGTTTTTAGGTCACTTATTTATCTCACTTGCAAGTGAGATAAATAAGTGACGTAAAAACATTGTTACACTCGACGGATTTTCATTGACAATTTGTTGTTTTGATTTGTTATTTGTTTGTTCACATATATTTTTGTTTTGTTTTCTTCTTTTGCTCATCATACGTTATAATTGACTTTTGGGCTGCGGAGTAAGTGCGTACTCATAAATGAATAAAGACATTAACTAAATTATTATTGTTGTTATGTATATTACAGACCTTCTTGTTGTATGATGAAGTGGTGGATGTGGCTGGACAGAATCTGGGACCTGGGAAGTCTCTGAGTGATGGGGCTGGAGGTGAGGGAGATAATGATTACAGGATCAGTAATCACTTACTGGAAGCAAAGGCAGCTTCCATTGAAACAAAGCCAGAATGTGATAGTAGGATTGATATTCAGACTGAAGAAGATCAAACGAAACCAGAAACATCCCAGGAGTTTTCTGGTGGAATCAAGAGTGCCCATGTGACAGCCAAATGGACTGAGGACTTGTCTGAGAACACTCTGACAGATGTGAGTCTGGATGTGAGGCCCGGAGAACTTGTGGCTGTTGTCGGACCTGTCGGCTCAGGGAAGGTGAGCTGCAGTTGTGTTGGAGGAAAGGGGAAGGAATGAGCAGTGCTGGGGGCTTGGTACACAGGCTGATGTTATAATGACTGTGTGCTAATGTTGCAGACATCACTGCTGCATGCCATCCTGAAGGAACTGCCCCTCAACAGTGGCTCCATCTCTGTGGGTGGATCAGTATCATATGCATCGCAGGAGCCCTGGCTGTTCACAGGCTCTGTACGGCAGAACATCCTGTTTGGGCAGCCCATGGACAGGAACCGGTACAGACAAGTGGTCAGAGTCTGTGCTCTTGAACGGGACTTCCAGCTGCTACCCCACAGTGACAGGACCATTGTGGGGGAGAGGGGTGTCACCCTGAGTGGTGGGCAGAGGGCGAGGATCAGCCTGGCAAGGTGAGGGTTCATGCTCTTGAATGGGACTTCCAGCTGCTGCCCCACAGTGATAGGACTATTGTGCGGGACAGGGGTGTCACCCTCAGTGGTGGACAGAGGGCGAGGATCAGCCTGGCAAGGTGAGTATTTGTGCTCTTGAACGGAACTTCGAGCTGCTCTCCCCTCATGACAGGACCATTGCGGGGGAGAGGGGTGTCACCCTGAGTGGTGGACAAAGGGCAAGGATCAGCCTGGTAAGGTGAGTGTCTGTGCTCATGAACGGGACTTCCAGCTGCTACCCCATGGTGACAGGACCGTTGTGGGGGAGAGGGGTGTCACCCTGAGCAGTGGACAGAGGGCAGGGTGAGGGTCCATGCTCTTAAATGGGACTTCCTGCTGCTGCCCCATAGTGACAGTGTCTTTGGTCTTTGTGGTAGCACATATGAGACACATCACTTCTTCCAGTGATATGGTGAGTAGGTGGAAATGATGGGCAATTAAGAACACTTCTAATTTATTGTAAATTCCTACCATATTAGCACTTTGCGGACCGGTCGCATAATATTATGATTCTAGGACACGTTATGTTGCAACACACTATACCTTGCTCTAGCGCCACGCAGATGGATAACTGTTGTGTAAGACATCCTGAATGTTTGCTTAGTAGTCAGTAACAAGACCTCACTGTTTTCCTATCCCACTCCAAAGGAAAATGCCTTTGTTCATCTTCAAGTTCTATATACCAGGTCATAAGTTAATAGTGCAATATGGGTCAAGGACAAAAGCAGTTGAAGACCAAGCGATCTCTCGGAGAACAAGAAATATCTGACTTGTTCTCCGATGAGCTATCTGACGTCGCTTGTGAGTCTGCTAGTGATAGTGACTCACAATCTGATAGTGAGTGTGGCAGGGGCGAGCAAAAAAATTGTGGCCACAGACAGTGAAAGTGAAAGTGACAGTAGCTCTGATGAAAATGCGGGTAGTAACATTGCGGGGACAGCCACATGGGGAAAAGTAGACAAAATGCCTAGTTTGGGGCAGGTTACTGGAAATCCAGGGGTGAAACAAATTCTATCGGACCCAACGCAAGTGTCTGAAGTAGCAGAACTGTTTTTTGGAGATAGTTTCTTTGACGTATTATGTCAGGAAACTAACAGATACTATCTCCAACACCGTGAAGAGTATGACAGAAGTTATAAGGTGTTGAAGTGGGTGGATGTCACTTCAGCAGAAATGAAAAAATGTTTGCAGTAATCTTTCTAATGGGGCATACAAGGAGGGATAATCTAAAAGAGTATTGATCATCAGATCCATTTTTAGGAATTCCCATTTTCGGCAAACTCATGAGCCGTAAGAGATTTGAACAAATTTGGTGGTGTTTGCATTTCAATAATAATGAACTGCAACCACAATCAACAAGCAGGCTTTTCAAAATTCAGCTCTTATTAAACTTTTTCATTCAGAAAATTCAGACAGTTTATAAGCCAAACCAACAACTGTCTTTGGATGAATCTGTGATTCCTTGGAGGAGAAGGCTTCGTATGTGAACATATAATCCTGGGAAACTTAGAGTATAGCCTACTTGTTCATGTAGTTACTAAAAGCATGTCAGGCTATATTGGAAATTTAGAAATTTATTCTGGTGAAGGCAAAAAATTAAAGAAACTATTCTTTCCATTTTGGAACCCTATCTTGATCAAAATTACCATGTCTATCAAGACAAATATTATAACAGTGTGGCAACTGCAGAATACCTTCTTTTGAGAAAAGTACATGTTTGTGGAACAGTTAGGGTGAACAGAGGCCTTCCTCCAGATCTGAAAGAGGAATCTAAATCCCTGAAATGTGGTGAAACCACATTCAGGAGGAAGGGGGATATTCTTCTTCAGTCCTGGAGGGATACTCATGTTGTGAACATGATTTCCCAATTCACAATTTGAGCATGGTTGATGTTCAAAGGAGACATGGGCAAGTAAAGAAGCCTATTTGAATTTCTTCATGAAGGGAGTTGATAGAGCCAATCAGTACTTTGCCTATTATTCTCTTCCTAGGAAAAACAGATATTCAAACCAAGATAAAATGATATCTTGATATTCACTACAGCAGGAGGTGCACACGTGGAAATTAAATAACATCATCATTTTCGTTTTGCTTTGAGTTTGTGTCATGGTTGTGTAAGTACAGCACTTTGAAGCATTGAGCATATTTTATGAACATCTCTATTTTACTGAAATTGTGGAATTCCAGTAGAGATAACTAATATACCTGTAAGTCATTAGAATGCATGCCTCACTCCTTTCAGTGATTTTATATCTGGACTAAACAGATCTTTGGTAACTGACCTTTGTCAGGCCCTTGTATCTGAATCATTGAGGTTTTGCAGTATTTTGTCATTAACAATAACTACAGGGTGATTCACTGAGAGAAGGCCCAAAATTAATAATTATATAATTCCCACATTAACTGGTTGATGAAAACAAAACTTGTAATGCTGCGTGCTTTGCAACACTCATCTGATGCCTGCATGCTTGCATCATTTCTGCAATTGATCCAATGCCCTATCAGGCTGTGTCTTCAGGCAGAGCGGAGCAAATATCAGCATCTTCTGTAGCTCTGTTACCTCCACGTCTACTAGGGTATGTACTCACAAAGTTTTGTTTTCATCAGTAAGCTGTTGCATGATATAAAATTTTTAATTTGGGACTAATTCTGAATGAGTTACCCTGTATTATTGCAGATCCGTTGTATGAGATTTCATCAAAATGCAGCTAGAATTTAAGAGATGAAGCATGCAGACGATGGAATGTGGTTTGCATTTATTCTGTGAATTTTGTGTAATTAGTGCCCAGAAAGGTACTCCTTTCTCTGTTTTCAGAGCTGTTTACAAAGAAGCAGACATCTACTTGCTTGATGACCCACTGTCCGCTGTGGACACACGTGTGGGGCGTCACCTGTTTGAGGATTGTATTTGTGGCTTCCTTGTGGGGAAGACTAGAGTGCTGGTCACACATCAGCTGCAGTACCTCCACACAGCTGATGACATCATTATTCTCAATAATGTACATATGTCACAACATGTTTGTAATCATTTACAATTAGTATAGTGTCTGTTGAAAATTGAATGGATAGTTGCTTCATTTATTATTGTTTACATACAAAATACTGTTTACTTACGCCAGTAAACTTTAAAGAATAATATGTATATCTTAAGAAGCATGGTATAGTCTGTAAACTGTCCCTGACTTTTTTTGGTATGTACAGAGATTTAGTCCCTTATGGAAAATCATTTCATTTGTATCTTCATCCCTCGCCTTCTTTCTTCCATTCCTGTCTGTTTTATCTCTGTTCTTTAATCATACCCTTCCTTCTTCTCCTTTACGATAAAACAGTTCAGGTAAATATCTGTCAGAGACTACTAACAGCAGGGTGCTGTGGGCCTCCCTCCCAGGAAAATACTAGTTTCCTTTCGGTCAAGGACAACCTGGGGCTGAAAGATGCAGGGAGTATAGAGCTTCCCCTGTGAGTGTGGTCAGGTCCGCATTGGGCAGGTGGGCCATTTGATTGACACTAGGCTGAAGGGGTTCCAGTGGCATGACAAGTCAGCCATGGCAGAGCTCAGTATCAGCTTGGGGCACCGTATCCAGCTACACCGCCATCCTCTCCACCAAACTCAGATACGAGGGTAAGTCAATAAGTAAGTTACAAGTGGATATAGAAATTAAACAAATAAGAGTACTGATTTGAAAAATGCTTTTATTTCTCATCACAATCTCCCTGTACATTGAGGCACTTGTCCCATCGTTTCAGAAACCCCTGAAAACCAGCATCATAAAATTCTTTGGGCTGCTGTTGGAACCAGGCGGTGACTTCCCTTCCTACAGCTTCATCGTCGGGAAAATGTTCAGCCAAAAGATGATGTTTAAGAGGGCTGAACAAATGGAAGTCGGTTGGAGCAAGGATTGGGCTATAGCTTCCATTTGTTCAGCCCTCTTAAACATCTTTCGGCTGAACATTTTCCCGACGATGAAGCTGTAGGAAGGGAAGTCACCACCTGGTTCCGACAGCAGCCCAAAGAATTTTATGATGCTGGTTTTCAAGGGCTTGTGAAATGCTGGGACAAGTGCCTCAATGTACGGGGAGATTATGTTGAGAAATAAAAGCATTTTTTCAAATCAGTACTCTTATTTGTTTAAGTTCTATATCCATTTGTAACTTAACTATTGACTTACCTACATATATGGATCACATCATCAGGAAAGTGATTGGGATTGAGCTCCAGGCCAACAGTATGAACAGGGAGGATGGCTTCTGTCTGAGCAAGCCATGGAGAATTCTCACCTCCATGAACACCCTTAGGAAGCCTCCATTACATGACGGAAGATGTGGGTTCTCTGCGGGGCCACACAGGTCCATGCATGCTGACCTTATCAGGGCATAAAATATGTCTTCTCTGGGCAGTCACCAGCCTCCAACCCTAATGTCCTGGCTTCCTTCCACTACCTGTACTCCGTCATCCCCCGCAACATGACCGTGGCTCACACACTTCATTTTTCCCCTGTATTTATACTATACCAACAAAACCGCTCCTTTTCAGGGCCATCATAAAGTCCTCTTCTGGTCTCCTATTGGTTCACTCTGTGGTCATGTGAGAACCTGGCGGTTTCATTCTCTCCCATGGCGAGCCAATGGGAACTGAGGCCCGTTCTTCCATTTCTCCCCTGCTTCTTATATAATCAAAAATTTACAGACAGCCAATTACTCGGCTTGCCACCTACTTTCATGCTGGTATCTTGCTCGGTTTATTCGACCCTGAAGATGGGTGTGATATGTTCCTCTGAAACTTTGGTTGACTTTCAGCAGACTACATGGCATTGTATCCCAGAAGGTAGTACTCTTCAATATAGGTATTGATTATATCAGTTTAAAATTGTTGTCTAGCCTGAAGCATGTTTCAGAGGTCAGATATTTGTACATTATTTGCACCAAAATACTTTGATGATGTGTAAAATAACACCTCAGTTTTAAAAACCAGTCCTGTTTGCACTGAAATTTTGAGTATAGTTTGAGATATTTTTATGCAGGGAGCAGTAGAAGCCAGGGGCACTTACACGGAACTGCGTAAATCTGGGGTTGACTTTGCAAAGAAACTTGCCGTTGGACCAGAGGAGCATGAAGATGAGGAGAAGCCCCTTGCCAACAGCACACAATCACCTGTACGCAGGAATGTGCGTCACACCTCAGAGTCTTCTACTGTGGTAAGCAGATCTTGCCATGGTTGTAATGCACTGTTAGATCATGTTATGAACTTCAAATTGCTTTTGTCAGGAAATGAGGCATAGAAGTATATTTGTATAGTAGTATCATTCTTATCTGTCTTTATTGTAATTGGGCCTCTTGAGTCTGTCCACTTCTTCCTCTTTGGTCCCTTCACCCAGTCTGTTGTCTCCTCAGTGGCTGTATATTTGACAGTGCAATTTTTTGTAACCTGTAGGTAATCAGTTGTTGCCTGTGTGACACTCATTCATACTGCTGTATCCTTAATTCTGCTGACTGCACTGATTTTGATTTCATATTAAAACATCTATGTATCACACTGTCCATCAGTAATGCAACAGATTGTTCCTTTTTCTTCCACTTCATCACAACATGATTGAGCCTTAGATGGCCATTTTCATGTGTCTTAATATATTAACACTGCTACACTGCATTAGTATGCGCTAAAATCACACCCTGTAGTGCACTTAATAAAATAAAATAAAATCCATCAAAATTCTCTATTAAAAATTTCATCACTTTGGTGAAATTCTGTTCCACCTCCCAAGGGTTGCCCTCCATTTGTTTAGAACTATGTGTTTCTCTCCATGTGTTTTATTGCAGCAGCTTGTATTTATGTTCATTAGCCCGTTGTTCTGTTACGTCTGCAATCTGTAATATGCCCCTTGCTTCTGCGTTGTTCCCTCTAGCAGCATGACGTGTTGTCTTCACTAGCATAAGTGGAAGAAAAATGCACAGTCTGTTGCATTATTGATGGACTGTGTTATATGTAGATGTTTTAATGTGGCTTGCAACAGGATGCTTAAGTACAGAATTTGCTTTCATATTTTGCCTAATGAACTGGTTTCACATATTATCCCTTCTCTTTGAGGTTTGAGGTTCTCACTGCAATTACTATGAAGTAGCTGTTAGTCCCCTTCACCCTACCTCCAATTCCAGTAAGAGTGACTAAATGAGTGGGTTTAAATGCATATCAGTGGCTACATTATTTAATAGAACAGGCTTAGACCATTGTCAGGCTGTTTAATCTTTTGACAAACCCATGTAAAGGTGTATAAAGAAATTAATGAAATTAAATAAATGCTGGAAGTTTCTATGCCCTCACACCTACCAGGGCTTCTCTTGCAGCTCCTTCCTTCCAGCCCTGTTTGTAGTGTGCCCTCAGCCACTGTAGGCTTCCCTTTGCATATCCTGTGTGCTGCACTCGTTGGCCTCCAGACTTGCCTGCACCTGACATTTGTGCTTCAGTCACCCATCTCTCTTGTGTCAAAATGGCCCTTGTTAGGGCCACTTCTGGTTCATTGTTCTCAATGCTTCTGGTGGTTCGCTCAGGGGTCCTAACCCCTGTCTGTATATTTATCACCTTTCCCTCTGCTTATCTAATTCTCCTTGTTCGCATGCTTTTTTCTTCATTCTTGTTAATGGAGGCAGTGTATTCCACTGAAATGTTAGTAAACTTTTACCAGACTACATGACATCACATCCCAGAAAATTATACTTTTCATGCCTTTTGTACATGTAATATTCCTCATTGCATGTGATTTGTTTACATTTTTATATAGAGGTCTGTTCCGGGTCATTCCATGTGAAATCATCCAGAAAGGTCGCTCACCATTTTTNGCATTCAGTTTCACCTGTTACTTCACGACATGTTTTGGCAACATAGTGCCATCATCAGGTGCCCTAATTACGCTAATCTGTTTCATTGTTTGCCTTTATAAATCTTTTTAAAATTATTTAAAAAGTGCATATTTGTCAACTATAATAAATTTTCACACACTAAAACTTGTTAAGATTATTCATCTTATGTGTCTTAATTAAAACTGGCGTGTGGTTCTTCCACTATGGGGTCGTTTTTCTTATATTCAGTGTAAACCGTGTCTTCTGATGTGTGTTCCTTTCTTAGCTGCTAAGAATTTTGCTTAGGCCTCCACCATGTGTTCTGGGCTCTAAACATATTCTACCCTTGTTCTAATAAACATTCAGAGCTCGATGTCCTGGTCAGAGCCTCAGATGTTGGCTGAGATGAGGTCACGGGGCGGTGTGAGTTTCAGTGTGTATCGGGCATACTGTGCGGCTGGAGGGAGCTGTGGCATCACTCTGCTGGTGTTTGGTGTGTGCATACTTGCACAGTTTGTTTTCAGTCTGGGAGACTACTGGATGTCTTATTGGTATGTTTTGGTCAAGAAAAATTGATGAATGTTATGGATTATAGAACCATATTGTTTTGCAGTTGTCTTCCGTTAAAACGCTCTGTTGAAACTAGGACTCTGAACTGAAGAGAAAATAGAACATCACTAAAGTCCATATATATTCCATTTTTCCAACTTCTAAACTTTTGCAAAAGTAAGGGCTTGCATCTGTGTACATTAAAATTCATACTCAGTGCTAACTGGGTATTGAACCTAATACCCTCGGAATGAGAATCAGGGATTTTGCTGTAGGGTAACCAGGCTCCCACAACCATGAAATTAATGTGTTTAAATGCATTTTATTGTTGTGTTGATAGGTCTGACATAGAAGAGCAGCGAGCAAGTCAGATCTGTGTTCCTGCCAATAATACGAGTATGATAAATGTGACATTCACAGTAGAAAATGACATCTCCAGCCCATTCTGTTGCGTGAATTCCACCATCATAGCAGCGACAAACTGTACTGAATTGGAATGGCTACCCAGCACAGAGACATGTATCCTTGTATACACTGGCTTCATAATTGCCATCATTGTACTTGCATTCAGCAGTGTCTTTTCATTCTTTGCAATGTGCATGAGAGCATCAGTCAACCTACACAACGCCATGTTTACCAGCATCACTCGTGCCACCATGCAGTTCTTCAACAACAATCCCTCAGGTAAACTGATATCTTGCTGTTCCCTGTTGAAGCAGAATCCAGAACAAAATAAAATGGCATCTGAACTTTATGTAGCTTTTGAAAGATATTGTGTTACAAAAGAACTGAAGTGATAGAACCCTGAGGTACGAAGGGCGCTCCATATATAATGCCTCCTATTTTTTTGTCTTAATATGTAACATCTGAGCTGGATGTTGGTGGTGTTGTAGTAAAGGTTGAACCTTCCCACCAATGTACTGTTAGTTTGGTTGTCATGCGACAGATAGTGACAGCAGAGCAGTCTGCCAAAATGGCATCTGACATAGAAGTGCGTACGAAACAGATGTGTTATTGAATTTCTCACAGCCGAACAGATTGCACCCATTGACATCCATCGATGCTTGCTAAAGGTGTACGGAGATGATACAGTGGATGTCAGCACAGTGAGGCGGTGGGTAGTGCATTTCAACGGTGAATGTGAAGTGCACGACAAGCCATGCCCTGGGCGTCCCTGCTCGGCTGCCACTCCTCACAATGAACAGCGCCTCGATCAGCTCATCCATACAGATCAGCAGATAACAACCAGGGAACTGTGTGCATGGCTTAATATCGGCTGCAATGCATTGGAAATGATGTTTGGGAAGCAGGATTATTGCACAGTTTGTTCCAGGTATGTCCCACGGATGCTTACACAGGACCACAAAACTCATCGAATGGAAGTCTGTCAGGACCTGTTGCACCAGTTTGAGGCTGAAGGTGACAAGTTTCTGGACAGCATCGTCACCAGAGATGAGACGTGGTGTCACCACTACAAGCTGGAATCCAAAAGACAGTCCATGGAGTGGCAACATCCGGATTCCCCAAGAAAAAAGAAGTTCAAGACAGCCATTAGCAGGGAAAGTGATGTGCACAGTCTTTTGGGATAGGCAGGGTGTCATTTTGTTGGATTTCCTGGAGCCTGGTGAGACTGACAATTCTGAACACTACAAGACAACGCTGACTAAGGTGAAAGCCCACATTTCCTGAGTCAGGCCACAGAAGCAAACAACCTTTCGCTTGCAACACAATAACGTTAGACCCTATACCAGTTTGGCGACCACCGCGCACATTTCAAAGTTTGGCCGGACTGTCCTACCACATCCACCATATAGCCCCGATTTAGGACCTTCAGACTTCCATCTCTTTGGGCCTATGAAAGACGGACTGTGTGGGCAACATTTTCCAGACAACGATGCTGTCATTGCAGATGTAAGAAAGTGGCTAGCCTCTGCTGGCACAGACTTTTATGGGCGCGGCATACAGGCTCTTGTTCATTGCTGGCAAAAGTGCATAATGAATGGTGGTGATTATGTGGCAAAATAACTGTAAGTAGCTGAAATCTTGCTCTATTTAACTGTGTTATTATGCTTTCTGTATCTGTTGTAGTTTTCATTAAAAAAATAGGCATTACATACAGAACGCTCCTCGTATATGCAAAATTGTTCTTAGGGAAGATAATTTATGTTCTTATGTACAACATATTTTATACAGATGGCAGTTTAGGATGTTGATTAAAGAAAATCTTGGCCTACTGATAAAAGGTGTCCACCTCAGTATGTAGCGTATGTCATAGATTCTAATGTTATAACTTTAATGTGTGTGATGAACTAACAAACTCCATTATGTAGAGTCCTTGGGAAGCTAATAGTCACTCACCTGGTCAAGAAATTTGCTGCATTCTCTGGAACCCCAAAGTTTATTGCCATCTTCACACGATCCACCATCAGTCCCCATCTTGAGCCAGATGAATTCAGTCAATTCTACACCCTTACGTTATGTTTTTAAAATCCATTTTAATAGTATCCTGTAATCTGTGCATAGGACTGCCAAATGATCTCTGTGTGTCAGGTTTCTAACCCAAAATTTTGTACAGATTTCTCATCTCCTGAGTGCCTGCTACATGCCTGGCCCATTTTTTCCTTGGTCTGATGAACATAATATTTGGTGTGGAGAGCAGAAATTACGAACTTCTCATTGTGCAGTTTTCTCTAGCCTTCAGCTCAGCCACGGTGTTATGCAGACTGGTGTCAGAATAGAACACAACTGTACAAGCACACAGTGTACACAAATGGTTGTCCAAATATTTGTTCTGTTCAACTTACTTACAAGGAAAGAAAATGTAACTCGTGAGAAAGAGAAGTGATATTCAGTAATTCTGGAGATGTTTTATTTTAGATAAACTGAATAATTGAGAGTGTGATGAACTCTTCCCTTATAATAAAGAAACATGAAATTCGTATGTAACTATTCACTGGTAATTGGTACTTATCCAAATGTGTAATTTAAAACTATAGACATATACTGGATAATAATCAACCAGTATTAAGGCTTTACTGTTATTACATTCTGTAGAAGAAACTAATGTATATATACAAGGTGCATTGTAGTAACATGCCTTAATGTAAGCATCATATTCTACGCTTACAGGCAAGCAGAAATGGCCATATAAATATATGGTTGCACCTGCTTCGTTAGTGAAATATGGAAGCCAGAAGCATGACGAGAGGAGAGTAGACATACTATAGCTGCGGATAAAGAGTTTTAATAGCTGCCAGCAGAACAGCATGTGGCCAGTTACTAACAGTTTACAGAAGATGTTGAAACAGTCCACCATTGCAGTTAATTCGTAACTGAGTCCTACTGTGTAAATAATTCCTGGTCTGCTGAAAGATGTCAGGCATGTTGTGCATTTTTGTCCTAACTGCTTCACTACTATTCCACACACCATCTTGCATGTTACATCATTGGGTGTAAATGATGCTCTGCAGATGACCCTGGCAGGAACGAGATCTGGTGATTGCACAGGCCATATATGCAGTGCCCATATTATCTGCCGTGTTGCCAGTAGCTGTGTTAATTGTTCAGGTAGAAGCTGTAAGTAGGAGGTCCCTGATAGTTGAGGTGGTAGCTTATGAAGACCTAGGAAGGGATGGCCACTTATTCCTATCCAAACATTTATTGCAAACTGTTTCTGGAATTGGGCGTCTTGAAAGGGATTTGGATTTTCATCAGCCCATATGTGATGGTTATGAGTATTTAAAGTCCCATTCCATGTGAAGCGTGCTTCATCCATCAGCAACACTCAGCTGATAAAGATTGGAGACACTCCATCTTGCTGTGTTAGCTGTTCACAGAACATTTTTCAGCACTCATAATCTAGCAGCAGTTTCAGTATGTGGTGGAATGGGTGCAACAGCTGATTATGTAACACCCTCATTGTTCACTGAGAAATGTCAGATCAGCAACCTGGTACTAGTACCAATGCACATAGAACATCTTTCACATCAGTGCTACTTTGTCTTTACGGTCTACCACTGTTTGTCATATTTGGCCATATGCAACCTGTTTCTCACAGATGACCTACTATAGAAAAGAATGCAGTTTGGAGGCTGTCAGTGACACGCAGCAGCTGCACTTTTACATTCTGCTTTTCTATGCAGTAGTACCTTAGTACCTTATTCATCGGTTCGTCAAAAGAATACTCTGTGCTCGGCACCATTCTTTGTTATGTATTGTGTCCACTCTAGTGAACATCACACCATCAACAGTAGAGGAGTCTGCAGACTGAATGGTTTTATCCATTTTGTGACAGTACCTAGTTCCCATATCTTGCTAACAAAGCAGTTGCAAACATATATTTATATCAGCTGCTTACTGCAAGTGTTAACTATGCTTACTCACCCAAGGAGCTGGGATAATGCAGATGGTATAGTGATTGACTCTGGGCTGGACAACAGAAGAGCCAATCGCAGTGGCCGCACGGTCTAAGACCTTAAATGCTTTTGCTCGCTCAAATCGTGGGATTGTGGGCTCAAATCCCATTCAAGGCATGGATGTCTGTGTGTACATTTATTCTGCATGTAGATAGTGGCCTTGTTATGGGCTGATCACTTGTCCAAGGAGTTCTGCCATCTGTTAAAAAGATTACAAAGCCAAAGAAGAGACCAGGGCCCAATGTAGGGTTGTAGAGCCATTGATAAATGAATGAAAATGAAGGAAGTATTAAGATCCTGTGTTTTTGGAATGGAGCCAGTAGGTTCCCCTGAAACTTTGGTACCCATCTACCAAACTCTACAGTGTCACATTGCAGAAGACCGCAGACTTAACATTCACCACTGTAACGACAAATTTCGTTTATAAATTTTGTTTTTTCAGGTCAGATATTGAACCGCTTCTCAAAGGATATGGGATCTGTTGATGAGTCTCTTCCACGCACAATGATAGACTGTGTGCAGGTATGGGAGTTAACTATTTCAGTATTCACAACAACCAGTGCTGCATCCATTGTGACTAGCAGTTTGTCTTTGTGACATTGTTTTATTCATGTACAGAACTCTGTCTTACGTGTCAAGAGCAAGTGAGGTGATCCACTAACATCATGTTTGGCTGCAGTTTTTGTTTGATGTTGCAGATAGGACTGGCACTGATTGGTGTTGTGTTGGTTGTGGCAGTGGTGAACTTCTGGTTACTGATCCCAGCAGCAGTGATGTTTGCTTTCATCTATGTGCTGAGGGTTTGCTATGTCTCCACGTCACGCAGCATCAAGAGACTTGAAGGAATAAGTAAGTTGACATCATCATTTAGGAGGGGTCCATTATGTTTCTGTACCTTGTATGGATGAGTGTGCACATGGCAAACAGTGACATGTCTGTCATGTGCCTATTATATTCCTACATTGCCTATATTCCTTAGCTCTGAGCAATGAAATCGTTTATCACAATACTGGTTTCGATACTATTTATGTTTAGATATGACTGTTTATGACCTGGTCAGCCAAATATAGCCCAGCTTTGTTTCGAGAACTGATGAGGAAATATTCATCGGTGCTTGCATATGATTGCTTCCAGAGCCTTCAAGGAAGTGTGATGCATTCAAGGATTGGTTTTCAGTGACGAATTATCAGTTAGGAAGTCAGTGTCAGACTGTCATATATTTCTTTGTATATCATTTTTATTTTGTGTCTTGGAAGAGGTATAAACCCACTGAGCCAGTATTACTTTGTGAGTAAAAGGCATCTTCATCACTGCGACTTTTGGTATCAGTGTTGGACTGGAACTCTTTTCAACTAGTATTATAATTACTTTGCATCACTATTTTGCAAGTATTACTAATAGGTGAAAGTGTCTCTTTGTCAATCAACATAATTTATTCGATTTTGCTAGAACCCTCCCCCCTCCCCCAATATGATTCTTCAATCGCACAAGGCAAATATCACGGTCAGTGGTGTTTCTCGGAGGGAGGCCAAGGTTATCTGGGGCCCAACTGACAAGGGAATGTTCTGATCCGACATATCGAAACCTGCCTTCCCCCCCCCCCTGCAAGAGTACA